AAAATATGTATCACTTTCCAACTTCTACATACACCAAAATTTGTTTTCTAATTAGAAGATGATACTTTCTTGCATTTGGTAGCCACTGTTGTGTGTACTGCAACATTTATTATTCCTATGGTCATCAAGCAAGCAGTAAGGTGGATTAAAAAAGTTGTGTCTTCTCTTCTTGTTAGTCAATATGATGCAAATAAAGCTTTTCCTTCCAGAATTAAGATTACATTTTGAATTAGGATTAAAATAAACATACTTTTTTTTCTTTTTTGTTTAATGTTGTATATGAGTGAAACTTTACATATTCAGTTTTATTTAAATGTGTAAATATGTATGGCTTGGCTCAATATCTTGTAAGAAAAGTACAACAGATGGTTGAAATTGTGTTGCAGCTTCAATCCATAAAAATGTGTGTGGTTTTACTATTTTTTAATTCTATTTTTAATACTTAGTATCTCTAAAGAGTTTAATAGTTTAATAAGAAAAGTATAATAGGTGCATTTTTCTAAACAAAATATGAGTTCTGCTGATTACTAATAATTACTAGTACTAGATGAAAGTTTATACATGTCTAAGAATTTATTTATCAATATTATATTTAATTTTAAAGTGAACCATTTGAATAATTTTGTCCTTGTTGGTGGCTTTTTCCCCTTTAATAAAATAAGCTCTTGGGGTTTTTACATAGTAAAACTTAATTGGTTTCTGTGTAAAAAATATAATTGAAGAAGCTAGTAGTAGCCGTAGTAGTTCAAAGACTGTATTTTCATGCTGAATTTTCATGTTCAAAGACTGTATTTTCATGCACCCATGGGTGCTTCTCTTACAGGTAAGGTTAGATGAAATAGCTGAACTGGCACAGCTATTCCTGTGCCAAAAGAGGCAGTCCTGCTTTCCTAGAGCACCTCGTGCCATTGCCTCTGGGTGTTGAGTCAGCCCCTTAAATTGTAAGAAAAATACCAACAATAAAAAGACAGGCTTTCCTGCCTTGGGGAGATGATACAGCCCAATGTAGGACCCAAGGAACGTTAGGACAGAAGGAAGGAGTAGGCTAGGCTAATAGTAAAAAGGGAGAGTAGAAAAGCAAACTTCACTAGGAGGAAAGCTTATAAGAAATCAAAAATATTTTTTTTTACGTACAATGACTGCTTTCAACTGAATTCTAGCTGAATTGAGAAAGGTAAGATATTACATAGTGGTAAAATAAGTTAATATTGCTACAAAATTTTATTTCATGTTCCAGAATTTTTTTCTAGCCCTCCAGACAGTGGTTCAAAAGCAACTCTTGAGAGCTGCAGTTTTATTTTAAGGCAATTCTTGATTTGGTTTTATATACTCTTTCTACACTAAGTACTGTTGGCAGCATTTTTATGTGCTTTAAAAAAATTATGTGTAAAATATGGTAGCTAAATTGTGTCCAAATATTGAAAAGTTCAATCTGTCCCAGTTGTCAACCTGAATATTTTTTAGACTTGACTAACGTGTCAGCATCAGACTTCAGGAGAATAAATCTGTGTTTTAACTCATTTCTTATATTTATATATTTAAACAAATGATGGGAGACCAAGTATTATTTCTGTACTTGACTTTTGTTTGAAATCTGATTAAGCACAATTAAAACTGTTTTGTTTAATACTGTTTTCTCATACTGAAACAAAATAATTAGTTTTAAATAGACTATTTTCACTTTAACGTACATCTCTATAGTTATAATTAATTGCATATCACATTTTTTTTTACTAAATGAAATGTTTAATTGGAATTTTGGAGTGCAGTTTCATGCCTAGAACAGCAGATGGCATAATTAAATAATCGAGTTTAACAGTTTAGCCACTGAAGTACAATATGACTTTAAGTCAAAACCAACTTTAGTTTTAAGATTATAATATATAAAATGATTAATTAAATATGCAAAATTTATTTGAAAAGCAAGCCATGGCTGTTTAAGATTGTCATATTTCCAAAGCAACCAATCTTTTAAATGTTTTAAGTGTCTGTTAGAAAATAGCCTGCTTTGTTAAAGCGTTTGAGAAAAGTAAATACCATGTTAGAAAGTAAAACCTATGGCACGTGGCCTGAATGTATTTCTTGTGTCATTTTAGGACCGCATAAAATTTTCTGTTGCTTTCACCCAGTACCCAGCAGTTTTTATTTCATAAAATTGATGTGTATTGTCTAGCAGATCTTGAATTCGACTTTTTTGTAGTACTCTATTTTTCTTGAATCGCAGTGGACCTGTAACAGAGCTGTCTGGCTATTTTATAAGCATTTTATTTAATAAAAATGGAAGACAAGGTAGGAACGAAAAATTTCTTACTGTTTTATTTCAGCCAAGGATCTCATTCAAATGGGTCTTTTGGTGCAAACTTGCTGACAATACCAAAGCAAAGATCATCTTCTCTGACATTGGCTCATCATATGGGTTCCAGACGAGGAGGTAAGGTCATGCAATTTGTATAGCTTAGTGGCAGGATGTGAAGGTAGTGCTTACTACATCATGTATTAGGATTGGGTTTTTTCATGTAAATGTAATAATAAAATAACATCAGCATGTTGCATATAATTTTAAAATATTTTATTTTTTTGCTTCTAAGAAAACTCAAAATTACAGTTCACATTAACTTTGTAGAAATCTCAGTTATTCACGTAATGCTATGAAGCTGTGACATTTTGTGATGTTCAGTATGGTTGGTACCTATTGACTCCTAAATACCTGATAGCCATCTAAGAGAAATATTTAAACAAATTTTGGAAGGAGTTGGAATAGATTTTATACTAATGCTGTCAGTGTAATAAGCTAGTAGATTCTGTAACAGCAGTGCTGAAATAATGTGCATATCAGTATTTCAGAGATTGTAGTTTATCTATTTCCCCATATTAAGTGAAAACTTGAAAACTACTTCTTTTGACATTTATGCCTATCCATTTTAGCATGATTTTAAAATGACAACCGGTCTCGTAATTTTGTTTTATAAAAGTTAAATATGCAGGTTGGATTGAGAGAGATGAATCCAGTTCTTAATTTTTTTTAAAACCAAAACCTCCCTCGTTTTCTCTGTATTACTTCCTGATGGTTTGGTTCTTTCCCTTGCACCCTTCCAAACACCAGGAAACAAGCAAACTCAGGACAGATCTGCATGGAAAAACATTTTTGCACATTCTCAATGTTTCTGAGTTCATAAAAAGCTGGGCTGCCTTCTGCACTTTTCTACTTTGAATCTTGTGGAAAACGCAGGGTGCAATGATATGCATGAAAACCTGCTGAATGTGTACATCTAAAAAGCATGAAATTAAGTAACCAACATTAGAGTATCAAACTGTTTTAGTTCTGGAAGTGAGTTTACAGGTTGCTTCTCAGCTTTCCAGATCTTTCTTTGCAGCAGTGAAGTTACATTTGCTTTCTAAATCTTCTCTCTCTGCATCTAGCAATGTAGACTTTGAAAAACCTTGTCTTTTATTGTAAATTTTATTAGGCACATGTTAAGCACAGAGTAGCCAAAGTCCAGATTTACCAGCTTGCTTTCCCAGATTTCACAGACAGAAACCTGACGTAAACCCTAGTTTACCATTTGAACAGTTATGGGGAATTTCATGGACCTAAGAAAGATGGAGTTATTTGTTGTTTGGTTGTTTTTATCTCTAATTACCCATAAGCAAACTGTAGATTGTTGTTGGGTTTTGTTTTTTTTTTTCCCCCAATGGCCTATTAGGCAGATTTAAATAGATTATTATGCCAATAAAATAAATGTACGTCACTGTCAAAAAAGGCCAGTATCTGCCCACTTTAATCCCTTGCTTCAAAAATATGATTACAACACTTTGGGTTTTTTACTTTATTTTAAAAAAATGTCTGAAGCATATTTTTTCTGTATTGCAAAACAATGAGGTAAAAGATTTTTGTCTAGGTCAGTTATCAATACTGAATTGATTTTGATGTTTTTTTTTTACCTGGAAAATTTTAAAAAAGCAATTCTGAACAGAAAGGAATATTGAAAATTTCAGCTACTGATAAAAATTCTGCCAAAGCTAAAACCAAAGACAGGTTTAGAACACATGACATAGTTTGCCCATTCAGATGTGTTGCCCAGACTGCTGCAGAGCTGTAGATCTTAAAACTTGCAATATATCTTGCTACTTTAAATGTCTTTAACAGTGTGAACTGTACAGTGTGTTTTGAAAACTTACACATTCTTTACAATTAATAAAGATTCTTGTCATTTAATTTCTGTCTTTCTGAACAATAATGTTTCTATTGTTTTCTGAACCCCATGTAATGTTTGTTTTGGAAGGTGCTTCTCCTGGCCTGAGTCCTGTGGGTTCACCTAGTCACGGATCTGTCTCCAGTGGGGCTTTCAGCAGCTGGTCACCTGTAGAATTTCCTGATACTGCTGATTTTCTTACAAAACCAAGCATTAATATACATAAGGCTCCAGGATACACATCTGGCTCTCCAGATTTTCAGCAGCAAGTTAAAACACCTCTAGCTTATATGTGTAGCAGGTACCGTAAACTCTGTTACATTTTTAGAAACTTCATATGCATTGAAAAGAATATAGTTAAAATGAAAAAATATAAAAATACCTATACATCTACAGGTATTGAAAAAAAGGCATATGATGTCATAATAATTTGTAACTATGTTATCCAGGGGAGACTAGAGAATGGTGTAGGTATGCCTTTGAATTGAAATGGCTCATCTTTGAAAGCAGCAGTTACTGTAAAGTAACAATATTTTACAGATTGTTAAAAAGGGAGGACTTCTTACCTGGGAATTGAATTCTGTGTTTCTGAATTCTTTCTAAATAATTAGCTCTACTTACTAATTCATGGAGGTCAGGCCTTGGGTAGGTGATGTTTCATTATTTTCTAAGTACAGACTAAATCTGTATGTGCCAAATTTAGGAGAAAAATACAAAGGTCATTTTGTGGAGTAACCTTCAAAAGTACGCCTTTGTAAGAAAAGTAATTAGCGGGTATTTTTCAGTACAACTCAGCAGTAGGAAGAGAAGAAAATTGCTAAATGTTGTAAATATCTTTCATGTATTCTATAAGTTGTGGACGTCAGATACTCAAGCCTGTTCCGACACCAGAACCGGAATTTGCAGAATATAAAGACAGAAAATCAGGTAGGATTTCAAAATAGACAAATATTTATATTTATTTTTTTTTTCTTTTAAGACAATTAAATTATTTTTTTTATATCTACATGAAAATTTTTCTATACTTTAAGTAACTCATATGCATATATTTTATTTTAGTTTGTGACTTAGGATAATCAAGATAATCTAAAATACTGCCTGCTTCAGAGTAAGGATTTTATAATAATTTCCACTCATAGCTTTATAGTTCTGTACTCCATATATCAAACCAATTCTCTGCCATATGAGCTAAAGTAATCACTGAACTAATTTTTACAAGTAAAAAGTTATGCTCCTAGCTTTTCTTAATCTTCAAATATGTTTGCCTAATACATTTTGTCCTTAACAAATTTTTTGTTAAATTCTAAAATAAAAATGGTTCAGAAACAAGCTATTATTTAGATTTCTGTGAAGAATCTGTATGTCAATTCAAGAATTATTAGACAGTATAATTTACAAATAAATTATTGATATAGTATTTATGTATGTATTTTCTTTAAGGTGAAATTGGAAGTGCTAGTGTAACAAAAGAATCTTTCCACCGTACAGAGAAGAAAAAAGATGAAAGGAAGGAAATGATCGATCAAACACAAAATAATCTGCTTGTAAGCATGTAATTGCAAAAAACCAGTTGCAATAGCTTTTATCAATGCAGTATTTCTTTATCATTTCTAACAAGATGTAAAGAGGTCTTTGCATTGCTAAGAGTTGTAATCCCTAAAGGGAAATGGTGCATCGTTGGAATTCAAAATTCCATTTAACAATTGTGTATTTTCAGCTTGCATAAATTTCACTAGCAAATGACAAGAAAGATGGTGATTATAATAATTTTTATGTTGATCAAAATTCATTTCTGTACTTTTAATGTTGATAGTATGCTCAAACACTGATTAACTAGTATTTTCTTTTGGCAGTTTATGGCAGTTTCAGTGAGACTTCCAAATGAATGTTCATGCAGGAAGACAAATGTTTGAAGCTTTACTAACATTTTTGGGATTATATATCATTTTTTGTAAAGCTTGTTCAATTAATGACCTGTTAAAACCCAATAAGTGTTTTGTTAGCCTATGCATATTTTTGCTTTGTTTTATTAACTTATCTCATTTAAAAGAATTAAGAATGAAAATTTAGCACCATCTCAGAAAGCCCTGGAATCTGCTGCCTCAAAATATAAAATGTTTAGCCCTTAACTGTCCCATTTGTACTATTGATTTATGATTTTCTCATAGCAGGAGTTAGAGCACCATTCAATAAGTTCAATAATGATTTATCATTTTCATGGCTTTTTTTGCCAATACAACTGTCAAATTAGTTTTCGTTGTTATTTTAGAGAAGATAAAGTATCTTACTCTCACACAGGGGGAGCAGAGTCCTACATTAGAAAAGTTATTAGACCACGATTCACTAATAGAGAAGATGAGCAACTGGAATTTCCAAATTTTTGACCTTGTTCAAGAAATGGGAGACCAGTCTGGAAGGATCCTTAGCGAGGTTTGTTGTCTTTTACTATATGAGGGAGGGTGTATAAAGCTGTTTTGCTTATGTATATTATTTAAACCGTGAAGAAGTTCTGCAGTCAACATATACATATGAATGCTAACTTGAAAAGTAGAAATATAATTTCTCATGTATTCCATTTCATTGTAAAACATAAAAAGTGATTTATCTATAGACAACTGGCTCCAAATTTTCTGAAATTTATTCTCAATGTAAAAATAGGTTCGCTTCACACTTCTTAGGTTTTGCGGTAATATGCCATTTCCTATGAAAAATTGTCTCCTGCTTTCAGAATTACTACCTTGTTTGTCAACTATATCTTTTTTCTTTATTTCAGTAAAATATTTCTGCCAGAGCTACACCTGTGGGGGAAGAGAAGTGATCTTTTAGGCAGTCTTTTGCCTCTTGATCCTACAAACAATGGGATTTTTTTTCCATGCTGCTTTCTGCATGTAGTATCCCTTTTATCTCTTTCTGAATTACTACTAAGCTCTTTCATGCAGTTTCATGTTGTGCTGAAGCCAATCTACTGGCAGGTGCAAAAAGTGTGATCCTGTTTGCTCTTCCCAGCCTCTCCCATTCATCAGTGTCATCTGGAAGCTTCTGTCTCTTTCTTTATGCTGGATTTAGCAACCAGGGAACTATAGCATGAGTTGGATTTGCTTCTGATCTGATCACAAACTATTTTGATTGGCAATATCTGGAGTAGAATGCATGTTACTCCTGTTCAGGGGTGATGTTAGGAACAGTCAGCTAGAGGGAAGGAAACAGGTCAGAAGCACTCAGGTGCAGCTGGAATCATAGTCCTGCACCTGGACTGGAGACAGGAAAAAAAATAATAGGGATAATTTAATTTTTATCATTAGACACTATCTTTTCTTTCATAATATAGAATATTCTGGGTATTGTTTTAAATCTTTAGTTAATCTTGTTTGATCAATTTTTCAGGTCTTTTGTCACCTCAGTTAGTGACAACTGTTAATGTACAGACCAGAATGCCAAAATGCACTTCTGAGTGGTGTCCTTGCTGTAGTATATACTACTGTTCTGTGAGCCACGTTAGCTTGTGTTTCCTTTGTGTGCAATCTAGGGGATAGTTCAAACCTGTAAGTACTTCAGCGTGCAGGTTTCTACTGAACTCTACCAGAATTTCTGTATCAGTTCTTCCTGATATTGTATCTGTGTGTACTACTTGTCCTTCTCCTCCTCCTGCCCCAGTCCTTTTGTCCGTTGTGCTGTAAGCATCTGATACATATCTTCCTTAAGAGCCAGTTAAAAACTGTATTTTATGATGTCCAGCTGTAAGGTTCTCAGATTAGGTATGTGTACGGGGAGTGGTTGGGACGAGTGGAAGGAGGGATGTCCCCTCATTTTGCTCCCGTGTTCCTCTGAGCACCTCCCACACTTCACAACTTACTCCTCCTCTCAAGTTTCTGGGAAAGAAGTGATAAAAATGAGTAGCAGTGACTTGTTTTGAAAAGCTTTCTTAATTTTTGCGGTTCTGGGGGGGATTAGGTCTTTGTAGTCACTAAGTTCTACTGGTAAACCATAGTATATTTGCACAGGATATACATGTGTGGGTGTCCTGACTACATTTTGGAAATATTTTTTTCTTTTACCAGCTGGCATTGTTAAAAGGAGCTAAGTCAAGTCATAATGAATAAAACAAATAGGATTTATCTGCCAGAGTCTCAAAAATAAATACAGTGTTGGGTTTTGGTTTTTTTTTTTACATTAATGGCTCTGCTACTATAGTTAAATAATTTGAACTTTTGAATCATAGAATCATAGAATGGTTAGACTTGGAAGGGACCTTAGAGATCATCTGGTTCTAACCCCCCCAATGCCATGAGCAGGGACACCTTCCACAACACCAGGTGCTCAAATGATAAGAAGTAAGATTAAGGAGTAAGAACATATATTTTTTATTTTGGAGTCACTAATGGAATAAAACATGAGTTCTTTAACATTATGAAAGTTTTGGAGAATATTATTAAAAATAATCAGTTGTGAATAGAATTTATCAGTAAAGAAATAAAAGCTTTATTATTCTGTGTTTGACAAGATGATAAAAATCCACATTTTTGTGCTAAAAAATCGTTAAACATTTCTACGATGATAGTTTTCAGATAATCTTTAATAGAATTTGGGTAATTTCTACCTCTTGGCAGCAAATAAAATGTTAAAAACAGGGATGATTTTAAAATTGAAAAAAAACAGAAAATGCTTAGGTACATTTTTCAGACTAAAATTCATTTTAATATGTATTTAGGTAACTTATACCTTGTTTCAAGACACTGGTTTGTTTGAAATTTTCAAAATCCCAACTCAAGAATTCATGAATTACTTCCGTGCACTAGAAAATGGCTACCGAGATATTCCCTGTAAGTACTATCCAATTACATATGTTTTTCTTTTTTATTAGTGTATCTCCTTTAATGTGTGTATTAGTTTAATGTTTAATAGAGGTATACAATGTTTGAACTTAGTAACTATTTTTAATGAATACGTTTGTCAGAATTTAGAACTGATTTAATGAATTGCAACAAAGAATTAGTGAACTCCAAAACTGAATTTGTTAATATGTAAGGTGAATATAATCTTAAAAAAATTTTGAATGAGTAGTTGAATCAAACATTCTGAAGTCAATGCGAGAATATTTGTTGATTTAATAGAAATTTGTTTTAGGCCCATCATAGAATAATAAGAAATTACAGAATTTGGCAGTAAGTATTCATCTTGCTGTTTAGGGCAGTCAAATTTATTGGAAAACAAAACAAAACAAGACACCAGCCCCCACCTGCCTCTTCCCATCCACCCCCATCCACCTCCCTCCCTTCCTTCACCGTCATCAAAATCTACCCTAGAGTAAATTTGACACGTTACATTTCTTTTTTTCTTTTTGCTCCTTTTGATTATGTTTCAGATAATATTTTTGATTCTATTTTGATAATTTTCAGATCACAATCGTATCCATGCCACAGATGTTCTTCATGCAGTATGGTATCTGACAACACGGCCAGTTCCTGGATTTCAGCAAATGCATATCGAGCATATAATGGAAAGTGATATGGGTGTGTATTCCTATTATTTTATTTTTTTCTTTTGCTGTAAGAATGTTTCTTACGAAACTACAATAGGTAAAGCAAATTACTCTGGAAGAAACCATCTAACTACTATGGGAAGTTCCATTCAAATACGAGGGAAAACTTCTTTATGGTGAACATCTAATTACTATGGGAAGTTCCATTCAAATACGAGGGAAAACTTCTTTATGGTGAGGGCGCCAGAGCCCTGGAAGAGGCTGCCCAGGGAGGTCATGGAGTCCCCTTCTCTGGAGATCTTCAAGACCCACCTTGATGCAGTCCTGGGTGATGTGCTCTGGGAAATCCTCCTTTAGAAGGGGAGTTGGACCAGATGACCTCTATGGTCCCTTCCAACTCTGACAATTCCATGATTAATACACACCTTATAGAAATATCAAGCAGTCGATTTTTAGAAAAAATATTAGATGTGTAGTGTTTAGTTTGTTAGCCAAGAACACAGGTTCACTTAATAAAGTTTCTATGCTAAATTAAACCTCTGTATACTGCTATAGTCAGCGTATTGAAATCCATTAAAGTAATATTTCTTAACTTTATTGGGAAATTAAGTAGATCAAAGAAAAAAATACCAAAGTCAAAGTGTTTAACTTAATTGAAGACCTCAATGGTTTTAGTATAAAAATGGGTGTTGCAGAATTCTGTATTAGATGCAGACATTCAGGCACTGAACTGACTATGCTAACAATAACTGCATAAGAGCATCCCTGAAAGAGAAATAAAGACTTCAAATTCAAATTTTGTATGACATTATTTGTAATGAAACTGGCTTTTGTGTTGTCTGTGACTTCATGGAATTAACTTTTAAATTTACAGTTATAGGTTGTACTAAAATACATACTGTAAGCAAAGTATAATTATTCTAAATATCCACTTTCATACTAAAATATATGTATTTAAGAAAAATAAAATGGGGAAATTAATCACTCTCTAAGAACTGTTCTGTATGTGCAGTAAAAAAATTCCAACAGCCCAAGGGCTGTAATTTTAAGTAATTTGGGAACTGTATTAAACATTATACAGTATATGTTATTTCTTCCTTACTAATTAGCCCCTCTGCTGTCACCTTTCTCCTTTTCCAAGTTTGTCCATACCCACTGATTGCACCCTATTGCGTTTTCTTTCTCTAAGTATTAAAAGGGTTGGGACTGGAGACTCGACTGGAGGAAAGAAAAATGATAAGAATTGTTTTGTTTCCCTTAAGAGAAAAGTAAAATTAAAATAAGAAATTATAGTCTCATTGCTTTGGAACTCCTCCAGTATAAATGTTACTAGGATTTTTAATCCTCAGTTATTCTACTAAGGCAAAAGAGACCCTTTTTATTATGCAGTGACGAAATAAATACTGTTACTTTTTGCTTTTTTTTGTTTGTTTGTGGTAGTTTGTTTGTTTGTTTTGTTTTGTTTTTTACTAAGTTGTGACTTTGTCTAGGGGAAAGAGAAGAATAAAACTGTGAATCTCCTTATCATGCCAATATTTCTAACTTAGTGGGTTTAGTTCCTTTTGCAGTAGTTTTTACTCTCCCCCAAGCTTTTCCTATAGGTCTGCGCGTTCAAGAAATAGGCAAATTATAGAAATACTAAGGGTGTTGCTGATTGATTCTTTCTTGGCCTTATTGGGGCCTTCCATGGAACAAATACCTACAAATGCATTTTAATAATTAAAAGCTTAGATTGTTATGGTTGCTTTCTAATCTAAATGACAACTTTACTGCAATCAAGAGACATAGACTAGATGGCCAGTGTCCCTTGTCCCACTATATTGCTTTCTGTGCCTGATGAAACATTCCTCTGAACCAGCCTTCTTTCAACTTTTCTTAAAAATTACTGGTTTATCTATAAACAATAGCATAACTTTTTATTTAAAGTATAGCTCTTTCTTTGCTAGTTATTCTGCTCCGCAATTACAAGGATTATGTTCACAATAGTATCTGGCTGAGTCATTTAAAATGTATGAAAAATATGAATGCAATAATGTTCTAAAAATACTTTATTTTTTCGTATTTTCAATTTTCTTAGATGAAGCTAGTGGCATTGCCCCTGTTCGAGTCAGCTGCTTTCGTATTTTCAATTTTCTTAGATGAAGCTAGTGGCATTGCCCCTGTTCGAGTCAGCTATACTTCTTCAAAAAGTTGTTCTATTGCTGATGATAGCTATGGTTGTCTGGCATCAAACATTCCTGCTTTGGAGTTGATGGCTTTATATGTAGCAGCTGCCATGCATGATTATGATCATCCTGGTCGTACAAATGCTTTTCTAGTCGCTACCAATGCACCTCAGGTAAGAGATTCTTTAACCAGAAAATTATTTGTCTCTATCTGCAATCAAAATAATGAAACTTTTCTTCTTCTGTATCCCTGCTGTAGTCTGTTTGGGATCCATTTGCCCGATTTAAGAAACTGGGAAATGAATTTGTAGTTAAGTTGTGTAATATCCCCCCCCGGCCCCCGATAAATTCCAATGTGTTTTGTACATATTGGTTGTGTATGTGTGTAAAAATAATTTTCAATTTATAAAATTGAAAATAATAACATAAATCAATGCAGGCGAGAGTAAAATTATTTCATAGAGAACTGGTCCTAGAATTGTCTAAGTAGCTAATTCATGGATATCTTAAACTTTGGGGGTCCTCTGAAATCACAGTGGTGTCTGCAATTACCGCAAAAACACAGGTTCCTCTAACAGTCCAATTAACTACATCACCTAATCTCTGTATATCTAATTAGTCCTTTATGGCAAATAGCCTTTACCTTTAAGGGAGGGTGAGTAAAATAAGCAGAAATTAGCAAGGAATCCTTACTCTTATCTCCCACTTTCAACTTTATTGTTAGAAAGTAGAAAGAAAGGAGATGCTATGCTCTTCAGGGTCTAAAAGGCAAAGACAAAAGAGGTGAAGGAGATTAAAGCTAAACAAAACAGCAGATAGGAAAAAGAAGGGGAGGCAAGAAAGAATTGGAAGGAAAAGCACTGAAGAAAAGATGCCTAAACTGCGTGGTGAAATATTTCTATCTAAAGAGCGGAATATTATCTGGGAAAGAATATTTACGATGGCTTTTGGATCTCTCTTAATAAACTAGAGACAAGAAACTTCATAGTAACATCATCTGCAACAACCATAATAACAATAGTAAATCAGAAACCAATTCAACTTGCCACGAGATGGAGACTTTCCAAGATGTAGACAGTTATGTGTTTCTGCTGCAAACAGTACACAAAGAAGGGTGAAAAAAACCAATGCAGACATTCATCTCCAGTTTTCAAAAATAATCACATTCATTTTGTTAATAATATCTTCCTTTCCTCAAAACATAAAGATCATTTTTGCAGGTTTCCGAATTTTTTTTTTCAGGTTGTATTTAATATTCAATTAAATATTTTCTAGGATGTTTTGTATAAACACAGGAGTTGTGAGTAAAATCTACTACTGTTTAATATTTTAATTAACTCATTTGCATTTAAAAATGTATTCATCAACATTAAACATAGCACATTGAAACCTAGTGATACTCCACACCATTTTGCATTAACGATGGTTCTTAGATGCTTTGGAGTTCTTGTCATGATTTTTTAAAATTTTATTTTATTTTTTAAACAATACTGGAATTAAGAGGAATTAAAAGCATATACTTAGCTCTGAGGCTTTTGTTGGTTGGTTTTTGGTTTTGGTTTGCATTATTGTTGTTGTTTCATGTCAGTGTTCATACTCCACACATACTGCCAGGAGAGCAAAGTCTGTGTTTTAAGTGGTTTGTGTATGTGTGGCTACAGTGTGAATGTAGATGTCACTAAGGCATAATTTAGGACTTTTAAAGAAAGAAAAAACTTTGCTAATTGTTTTGTTTGTTTTCTTCTCATCTGCCTTTTTTGTTCCATTTTAACCCTCAAAACTAGAAGGCAAATCATCATTTCCAATAGTTGTTTTGTGGGTTTTTTTCAAAGACTTGTTTCTGACTAGCCCTTAAGCTTCAGAATATTTAATTATAAATTTAAATCTTTACTCTGTCATTTATGATTCTCTGGTGGGTTTTTTGTGGTTTTTGTTTGTTTGTTTTTTTGTAGGCTGTTCTCTACAATGACAGATCAGTCTTAGAAAATCACCATGCTGCTTCTGCCTGGAATCTTTTCTTATCACAACCAGAATACAATTTTTTATCAAATCTTGATCACGTAGAATTCAAGCGTTTTCGTTTCTTAGTGATTGAAGCAATCCTTGCCACAGATCTCAAGAAGCATTTTGATTTCCTTGCAGAATTTAATGCCAAGGTTTGTTACATCTTGGTGTCTGTGCTGTGATAAACTGATGTTAGTGTTGCTACTCAGTTGTTTTTAATACTGCATTTAAACTTGCATTTAAAGTTTCATATTATTTAAATTTAAATTACTAAAAAATGCAAATACAGTATTTCCTTTTTACAAACCAATTCTAGATTATTTTGTAGATTGCCTAATAAACCTAGCAGATGTGACATGGTGGCTCACAGGAGACCTCAGTCCTGTCTCATGTGTCCATCTTCTGAAAGATAGTAAATGCCTTTTTTTTTTAACTATGTAAGACAGAAAATTATATAGAAAAATTATTTCAAGTATCTTGTTAAAAGCCTGAAAAAAATAACATAATTTTTAACATTATTTTTAAAACTGTATGTGCTCAACTAAGGTCAATGATATCAACAGTCATGGTATAGAATGGAGCAATGAAAACGATCGCCTGCTGGCCTGTCAAATATGCATCAAACTGGCAGATATTAACGGCCCAGCAAAAGTTAGAGAGCTACATCTGAAATGGACAGAAGGCATTGTTAATGAATTTTATGAACAGGTGCGTATGGAGAGTGTCATTTACTCTTTTTTTTTTTGATGACAGGCAGATGATCAATTCTTTGCGTTACCAAATGTATACCTAAACTAGACATTTTTCCTTGTGTTAAATTTGCAGGTAGAGAATTTCCATCTTCTCTTTCTGAGTACTGAAAATGTATTTTTATAGGTAGCATACTAACATAGAATCATAGAATCATAGAATTGCCCAGGCCGGAAGGGACCTCCAAAGGTCATCTAGTCCGACCCCCCCGCAGTCAGCAGGGACACCCCCAACTAGACCAGGTTGCCCAGGGCCTCGTCGAGCCTCTCCTTGAATATCTCCAGGGATGGGGCCTCAACCACCTCCCTGGGCAACCTGTTCCAGTGCTCCACCACCCTCACAGTGAAGAACCCTCTCCTCATCTCCAGTCTAAATCTGTTCCCCTCCAGCTTGAAGCCATTGCCCCTCGTCCTGTCACTGCAGGCCTTTCTAAACAGGTTCTCCCCAGCCTTCCTGTAGCCCCTTCAGGTACTGGAAGGCTGCTATTAGGTCTCCCCGGAGCCTCCTCTTCTCCAGGCTGAACAACCCCAGCTCCCTCAGCCTGTCCTTGTAGCAGAGGTGCTCCATCCCCCTGATCATCCTTGTGGCCCTCCTCTGGACCCTCTCCATCAGGTCCATGTCCTTCTTATATTGAGGGCTCCAGACCTGCACACAATACTCCAGGTGAGGTCTCACCAGAGCAGAGTAAAGTGGCAGAATCCCCTCTCTGGACCTGCTGGCAACGCATCTTTTGATGCAGCCCAGGATGGGATTGGCCTTCTGGGCTGCAGCTGCCCACTGCCTGCTCATGTCCAGCTTCTCCTCCACCAGCACCCCCAAGTCCCTTTCCTCAGGGCTGCTTTCCAATACCTCACCCCCAGTTTGTATTGGTGGCGAGGATTGTTCTGGCCCAGGTGCAGAACCTTGCATTTGCTCTTGTTGAACCTCATGAGGTTCACCTGGGCCCACCTCTCCAGCCTGTCCAGGTCCTTTTGGATGACATCCCGTCCCTCTGGTGTCTCGACAACATCCTCTTTTACTTCCTATCAGTTGTGTTAGAAGCTTGAAAACAAGCTCACTGCCAGTGTTGTCCATTTTTCAGATATTAGGTGGGGGGCTTGGGGCCTTTTTTTCTTATGATCATATTGATAAACCAAAATAAATACTTCTGCTTTGGGAAGTTAAGTTCACTGGAATGTTTCTAGGTCAAAGAATATGGATAGAATACACAACACTGGAAATATATATTCAGCTAACTCTTAATGCAAGGACAGAAGAGATTTCAAAACTTTCAAGTTTATGTATATAAAATACAGATTAGTAACTAACAGCATTTAAATGTAAGTAAGATTTTTACAGTGGAACTTTCTTAAGTGGAAAAAAGTCTGAAAATTTGTTGCCTGTTTTTTCATTTACAACTTCTGTAAGTACCCTGAAATACATTCTACATTTCTATTCTGTTGTTTTTCTGTAGTCAATTTTGTGAGGAGTTAAATATTTATGATGCAACAACCAAGGATTGAAAAATATTTTTCAAACAAGGAAGATAAAAGTAAACAACAAAATCACTTGGGAGATTGAAACAATAGCAATAATAATCCGAAGTGCTTACACTTACTGTAAGATCTTAGTAAGTTTCTCCCTTAGGAAAAACTTTTTCTTAAAACAATCAGGTCCACAGATGTGCTGAGATAAATTATTATAAATTATTAAATTATTATAACTCAGTTGCATATGAGCAACTGTTCAATTTTTTTTCTTCTTCAATTTATAAAATGGGGTAAAAAAAACCCCAAACTACACCACTTTATTCTGGATGTTATAGTTCATTTCATTCCATGACCTTTGGGGGAAAGTCGTTAATCAGACTACTTTCCCATTTTCTCTGTTGATCAGCCCAGCAATTGAAGTCAAATCTCTGCCTGCCGTGAAGCTGTCCTGTAAAGGCAGAGGAATAGGAGCTGCAGTAGAACTAGGTCTCCATCCATGCACAAGGATATCACACAGCAACGCTGAAAGGAGTATTATGGGCTATGCAAGTCTGAGACATGTATCTTTATTTTAAATTGGCCTAACTACATTTTAATTCACATAGCCTATACTATTAAGCTGAAAGGAGTATTATGGGCTATGCAACTCTGAGACATTATGTATCTTCATTTTAAATTGGCCTAATTACATTTTAATTCACATAGCCTATACTATTATTGCTCCTAGTAAAAAAGATACAATCCATGTGATATTTACCTAGTTCCTTAAAATTAATCTAAAAATTGCAAGTTAATGTTGTGAGAAGTTTTGATAATTTTTTTCATTTGTTTTTCAGGGTGATGAAGAAGCAAGTCTTGGATTACCGATAAGCCCCTTCATGGATCGTTCTTCTCCACAGCTTGCAAAACTGCAAGAATCTTTCATAACTCACATAGTTGGCCCCCTTTGTAATTCCTATAATGCAGCTGGATTGCTTCCAGGAGAATGGGTTGATGAAGAGGAGGAGGATGCAGAAAGTACTGAAGATGACGATGGAGCACAGTTAGAGAGTGATGATGAAGAAATGGAAGACGATCTTATTTTAAGTAAGTTTCTATATTTCCATTGGCGTATATAGTTGTCATTTAAAAGGTTCAGACATAGCAATGGTGGTTGAAATTGTGTAGTAGAAATATTGCAGATTTTGCAGTTATGCTGCTTCATAAATTTTACTCTTTTAATAAAATTTTTGTTCATACCAGGAGATTTGCAATTTGAAACAGAAACTCATTGTTATCCTTTGCCATGTCACTATTTAAATATTCTGATTAAGCATCCATATTTTTTGCTCAAATTTGCATCTCTTACAACATGCCATTGGTTTTGTATGTGTAAAATGTAATTACTTTGAATCTCAACCAATCAAATATGCTTATAATTTTACAGAAGCTCAAAGAAAAAAAGGTAGACGAATATTTTGCCAGCTAATACACCATCTCAGTGAAAATCACAAAATATGGAAGAAAATGATTGAAGAGGAAGAAAAAAATAAAGCTGAAGGAGCTAAACTGCTGACTGAGATCTCATCCTTACCTCAAGCAGATGAAATTCAGGTTATTGAGGAAGCTGATGAAGAAGATGAGCGACCAATAGGAGAAGACAAGATATGCTAAGAAAACTTCAGTGCCCAGTATGATGATTGCCTATTTTTTTTCCACTGTGCTGACTTTTGCCTGACACAGTTCACATAAAATTGAAAGGCCTTAATACTGTGAGAGGATTCTTTCTGCTCTAGTGGAATCCCACTCCTATGCACTTTCACCACACAGAAGATGAAACTTTATTCAAAGATTTGAGTATTGTATACCCTGATGCAAAGTTCTTTATGCCTTAGTTGGTATAAAATATTCTGATATAATGCTGCCTTGCTGAATATGGAACTCTTCTTTTCCTTGAGGTACCTGCAATTTTTAAAAAAAAAACATTCAGTGACTTCAGTTACCAAAGCGGCAAGAACTTTTGCTAACAAGGAAATGTGGGATGAATCCTAATATTGTCTTGAGTTCTTTATTTCATGTTATTTTTGAACATGAATAAGAAAAAGTCTGTGCCTATATGAAAACTATGTTACTGTTGCAGTGCAAGCCTGTTGTGGGGTGTCTACTTAGTGCAGTAGTGTGCTTAATGTAGCCATCTCAGAGCAACTGTTCAAGAACTGTGACATAAATGCTGAATTCTGATATTTGTGGTTTAAAAAAAGAAAAAAAAAATCCAGGTGCATCTATTTCTGATGCTTTTTATTATTGTGCATAATCTAATGTTTTATTTTTGCAGAAAATATTCAGGTTTGCAGTGGGTGTTCATGGTAATTCATTGAGTACAAGGCCATTATGGTCTTTCGCCTTGCTGTTTTATGGTAGATCATTAAAAACCTATTCATCTACTTAAATTATTAAGAAATCTTATTCTTTTAGTCATAATGCTATGTGTCCTGCCCTTACTCAGGTTCCTGTTTAAAAAAAAGTCAACCACAACATAGATTTTTATCTTATACCAATTTCAGGTATTAAATTTTGAGGAAATAAGATCGTATTTCATTTATTCTTTGTATGTAAAATTTTAGGACAATTAAAGAGTTAAAAAAAAGAGAAAAAGACATGAACTACTGTTTCAAAATGGTAGTATATTTGAATGTGCCCCACAACTTTTCTTCCATATAGCTTATATTACCTTCAAGTTTGATGTTCATCCTGAAGAATACATATGGAAAGCAAAATGTGAGAACTTCGTGTAAAGCCTAATAGTAAGATGAATATCACCATACTATATTGCATTTTTAGATTGTTGGGTTTTTAAATAAGAAATTTAGACATTCCACACAAATATATTTTTAGGAACACTACCATTGTAGGTCTAACTGAAAAAAAAAAAAAAAGACCATAAATTTGGCTACAGGTATGTAATCTAGTTTTAAAAGTCCACTTTTTAGTACTAAACATTTATATGCTGTGCAGTTGAATTGAATAAAAACAAATGCACACATGTGCAAGTTGCTAAATGTATCTTTGCATATTTGTGTTTACATTTACATCAGTTGACTTTGAAAAAAGTTAACATTCCTTAGATAACCTTGTGTAAATTGTATTGCACTATTTTACACAAACAGATTTTTATTTTTGCTCTTTGGCCAGTTTAAATAACTGAAAGGAATTCTTTTTATATTTTCGACCAATAAGCTTTTTGTTGATCCATTTAGAAGACCACTGAGAAATGCTTTTGCTATTTTATATATTCAGTGCCAAATCCCCCTTTGCTGCCATTTTTACTATCACTGCATATTTTTTTTTGTAATATGAGCAGTGTTAAAAACAGATATTTCATCATTAATAAAATGTTGCACTGTTGAAGCTGGCACTTAGTGATCATTCACTTGTATTTTACATTTCTTGTCCATATATTGTCCCAACAGATCATTTGAAGACTACAGAAGTTATGCTTGTTTCATTATGCTGCATTCTCAGCATTTTGTGTTTAGCCTATGTGTTTGTATGCAAAAGAATCACTTTAATGCTGTTTAGTTTGATTTTTGCTTTGACTTAAAAATACAAATGAGCTTGTATAAAGTTACTGTAATATTATTTTATGTTACAGTTTTCCATTCAGTTTCCTTTAAAAAATTATTATTAAAAATTAATATAAAGAAAGCATAAGAAGGTAAAAATAACATTTTATCTTTTACTAAGGCATTGGCAGCATTTACATCTGGTGACAACATTGCCAGCAACTTTTTTATCTCAGGTTTCCCTTAAATTCTTTAGAAATACTGAAACATTTTTTTAATTTGGAAGCAAGTAACAGGCCTCAGTATTTAATAAACTATAATGCCAATATGTATTACCAATCAGATATTTTCAAGTTACTATAGCTTGCTTCTAAGATATGTTTTATTATTAATGTATTCAGAAGCCATCTTAAAATGTCTGTTATTTATGTACACATAATATGTGACATTGTTACTCTAAGAGCAAGGGTAAAAGAATGTACAAGCATCATCAAAGGTTGGCTCAGGGCATGTTTGAAGAATTGGATGTAACTGTAATTGAAGGTGTCTTAATCTTTCAAACACAGTGTTGGAGAGTCATTTGAATGTTGATCGACCTGTTGTCAATGACAATATGTCTCCATATAAACCAATCACTTCTTTTCTGGTACCAACCCACTGAGAAATTACAACCAGTTTAAATCTGTGATCACACTTCAGTTCACAGCTACCAAGGGATAATAAGGAGCACAGAAAAGCACACAAAAGAACACTCAAAATACTTTCTAAAGCAACACTCACCACTTTTTTGTGTGTGTGAAGAAGGCCAAATTAGGCGATGCTGAAGTTTATGCTGCTACGGTAGACATACCTTTTATGGATAATATTCTCAGGTTTAAGTAAAGTCTTCAGCCCCTTTCCTATCGAGAGTCTCCTGTCTCCTCATTGCCTTCTTTTACCATGGATGTTGGATTACTTGCTCCCATGTGTGCAGTGCATTCTGAACGAGACTATGACATTTCCTCTAAGGACTCAGTTCCCTCCATGCCTCTGGAGACCTCTGCGTGTTACACTGGTGCTCAACTAGTCAAAAGGAACTACTTGGATTCTCTTCCCATGAGTTCTTCCTCCATGACAAAGGTAGACAGCAAGTCTAAGATTCAAAATGAGAGGACTGGTGTAACATTACTTAAGGTAAGTCCAACTGAACAAAGTTTGCACAAGACCTGGTTTGCTCTGTGCAGAGAACCATTTCTTCTCTGTGGTTCTTGCATTCAGTTTGAACCATGAGTGGCAGATGACTCAACACAAGGAGTTAGCAAGAGCTCACTTCTAGCTCTGGTGCTTCTTCCTGGGCAGGCATAGTTAAGGCTGAGCTTCTGGTTCTTCAAAAAATATATACAGAATTTAGGTAATCCAGTGCGTGGCACCAACATTTGCAGTACTTTCTCTTTTGTCCAAAAAACATTTGAGAGGGTGTGAGAGGTGCAGAATTGGGAGCGTCTCATACACTGGTGAGGGTGAGATCAGAAATCCCATCTGTGAGACATGTTTTGGAGTAAAAAGATGGTATTAGCTTAGGTGATGAGAATTAGAAAGGAGAAATAGGAATGGTGCGTGCGTGCGCGTGCACACACACCCCCACACCCACACAAGATATGTTCTTACTCAGAAGAGAAACGTTGTTGTTTCAGGCCAGTTCATTGGTTTCAAAAGAATATGGAAACAAGAAATGTTTGGTAAATCAGAATATTCGGATTATTAGAAATGAAACTAAAATAGAAATAAAATTAAATCATACTACTACTAACAATACAATTATCATAACTTAAGTTTGATGCAAGTTTAAGAAATTTGATTTTTCAGTGGCCAATAAAGATTAGATGAGAGAAAATAAAGATACAAAGTTAATTAAATGAGGTACAAAAAGTATGATCAAGGCAGTGTTTTATTTTACTTTTTTTTTCCTCCAACTTTGTTCAGAACTGTGTTTCTGGACAGCTTCTTCATGTCTGTGTTAAGACAAATGCAGTAATGAATTGCTTCCATTTTTGCAATGAAGAATTTTCCTTTCGACATCTTCTGAAGCCTTTAACTTGGTTATAAGAATCATACTGCAGATTCGCAGAGAATAAGCTGGCATGACATCTTTTGAAGCCTTTAACTTGCTATAAGAATGATACTGCAGATTCGCAGAGAATAAGCTGGCAAAAGATCACAACTGTTAATTGGTGTGATCTTAATTTAATAGGGCCGACAGCGATTAGTACTTTTGTCCTCTGCTAAATGAGAAAGAATAATGTCTTATATTTCAGAGGAAACAGGAAAAATATGGACTTAGGGACTAAGCTGCTATAGAACAAACTTTCCAGTGCACTTGAGTTTCTAGTTGGCAGTGAGTCCCCTGGCACAGTGTCCATCCCCCCACATCCTTGGCGATCCAGCTAACAGATAGGTAACTCTGAACTGAGCAATCTGTCTCAATGGGTTTGTCTCCATTGTCCATTTTTTGTCAATATTGTCCATTTTTTACTCTCATTTGTCTAAGACATTGCTGGCTTAGACTTGAAGTTATACTTCAAGTCTAAGTCTCATTAGAGACTATATAGTCTCATTTCTGTTATCTGCAATACAATAAAAAAAAAGTAACAAGCAGTTGCTTGTTTTGCTAATAATAGCATTAATTGATAAAGTGGTTACAGTAAAGAAGAAATTGTTTTCCTTTGGTACTGAGATTAAAACATCTGTCCAGAGACTGGCTGACTTTAAATGCTGTTGTTATGATACAGTCAGTTTACTGAATAATGGATGCTTAATGAGTTTAAGTGATTGACACTTGGTCCTATGTGACACTACAGGCACCCTTTAAAAAGGGCACAACACAGGCAGAAATGTTTGACTGGAAGGCTCATTTTGGATCCTGTACACCATGAGTCATCTGATTTCTGCACTTCAGGAGATGACAGGTGACAGCAACTGGTGTCTGTGATAGGTTCAGCTACCACAGGCTGTATTACCTGGGAGGATGTTACAATCCGTGAAGTCTAAGTAAAGAGAGTAGAAGTCTTATACAGAGGAGAAACCTTTTGCTCTATCTGTGAGGTTTCAGAAAAATAAAAATGTGTAAGATAAAACAATAATGGTGAGAGACCATAGTATTTCAAAGGATTCCTTCCATTCACCCTTCAGAAAAATAAAAATGTGTAACCTCAAACCAATAGAGCCTTTAAATAACAGTGAGACACTATAGTATTTCAAAGGATTCCTTCCATTCACCTTGTGATTTGTCCATGCTCTAAATATCCTGCCAAAAAAGGTGATGAGTCACTTCTGACTCATTTCTCCAGATCAGCAGAACCCTTTGCACCTTGAATGAGATCAAAGTCTTTTCATTTTACTTGCATATATAACAAAGACCAATGCTTACCTTAAAATGCAAGTATTATACCAAAAATCCAAAGTGTAAGCTTGACATTACTAATTGCACACGGGGAGCAGACTGCAGACTTTGTCACCTGTGCCAGTTAGATGTGAAAACTTGGTCCTATGTGTGGTCATTCAAATAAACTTAGTATACCCCTCTTTATTTTATCGTGACATTCATCCTACTAGAATTTATTAATCTCTGTGGTATTGCCAATTTATCTGACTCATATATTAACTAAGCTTTCTCTCAGTCAGAGAAATGAATGAAGAAGCCTTCCTATTTATCTTGGAGAATGAGTTTGTAATAATTTTCTTCTATTCGTCATGTATAAGGCATTACAAAAATACTTTTTCTAATTTCAGATGTCACACCCGAGGAAAAGTATCTGCCCATTAGATAGATTGCAGAATTCCGGTACAGACTGGTAAGACTGACCAGAAATGTGGAAGACATGGCCTAAATAGGAGGAGAGAGGTTAAATTAATTAATGAGATCTTTTTTTTGAGGCTAGAAAAAAAGAGACTTAAGTGAGATATTCTAAGATTTTAAATGGTTAATAAGGCTGCATCAAAGAGCAAAGTAATCAGAATAACGTTTTCAGTGTTTAGGGCAAGAAGTAACAGCTTTAGATTGCAAGAAGAAAGATTCAGGCTCAATGTAGTTAATTGTCTAAGGATTGAGAGGGCTGTGACACTGAAATTGATTGCATTGGAGTATTAAGCAAGTCTTTAAAAATAAAATTAAAAGTCTGAAAAACAGCTCTCAGAAAACTGTTATTACTGGGTCAGGTGAGTGAACTGTGTGACTTACTGAGATTCTTTCTGGACCTATTTTTAAAATACTAGTACTAGAGATGAGATCTGATGTGGATCACTGTAAATACCAATAAGAAAATGTGCACAATGACAGAAAATAGTCAATAACATTCAAACAACAGGAATCAGATCTGTCAACTGAATTGCGGTCTCAGTGAATATTAAAAGCTTTTAATTTACTGAGTGTTTAATTGGTAATACATCTCCCATCAGAAACAGTATTTTACAATGATAGAAAATAGTCAAATAATAACATTCAAACAACAGGAATCAGATCTGTCAACTGAATCGCTGTCTCAGTGAATATTAAAAGCTTTTAATTTACTGAGTGTTTAATTGGTAATACATCTCCCATCAGAAACAGTATTTTTATTTGTTGAGGGAGAGATCTAGAATCCTTTTGAAAAAAACAGACAAGGTTTGAAGCTCAGCCAGAGTTAAGATTCTTTCTAGTTGTCTCCTTATGAATAAATGGAAATGCAGTAGCCAAAATATTTTTTAAAATATGATTGTCTAAAGTTAGTCTGCTAAAGCTTCTTATATTTTAAGTATTTTTCAAGCGACATGGTTCTCTCTAGATCTTAAGAAAGTGCACACTTAAGACATTGGAAGGTGTTGGATGCT